AACCATAATAGCATGGGTAGATCCAGATTGGGTAGACCTGTACTAGTGGCTAAGTCGACTATTTAAAGAATTAGAGAAATATCATACTTTAGCAGAATTTACAAAAATATGTAAACATGAAAATACACATTCAGGGCTCTAGAAGAGACCTACACAAGGGAGGGGGCACAGTTTCAGCATGGTCAGCTTCCCAGTAAATTCATCTCTGAAATGGAAAAATGAATGATGAACAATGCCCACAAGACCCTCAGACCATTATGCCTTGCCAGGCATCGAGCTTAACCTCTGACTCTGCTTTATCTGGACACAAATGCTTCTGAGTATCTGTCCCCAGAGGATACATGTTTTGGCCTGTTTGTTTCCCAAGAGATAACTCACATTGGTTCCCGTGAGGAGAGGTGCCGTTGGGTCTTTGGAGTGGTTGAAACATCACAAGAAGGTTTGCAGGCTATGACTTTGTGATGTCTCTACTGGGAAACTTCTTGATGTTCCAAATAAGAAAGCAAGAGTCAGAACCCAGCAGCCCCACCATCAAACATCTCAATAGAAAAGAAATAGATTAACAACACTGGCTGGGTCAAGTCCTTGAAGCTCACCTGAAATAAATCTGTTTCTAGTCTAGGCCTTGGAAGGGGGTTGGGTTCTCCTAGCACTACCTGAACATAGGAAGGAAAATAATACAAAAGGGTAACAAGCTTCAAGAACTGAGAACTTGGAGCTGGCATAGTGGTAGAGTGGTTAAGCCACTGCCAGCAGCACTGGCATCCCATATGAGCACAGGTTCGAGTCCCAGCTGCTCCACTTCCAATGAGTGCTCAGTGCTTGTAATAACTGGTCATATACTTAAGACTGATAGGAGTGAGTGGATAATGGAAGGTATTGTGTGGCATGTGTGCTCTCCCTTGATCTGTTCTTGTGGAGCTTTCAGACTTGCACTCTGCCTTAACAAAGAGCCAATCAATACAGCAAAGGGTCAGCAAGAACAAAGGTATCTTTCCCTATCATTTGATTCGAAATGTTCCTACAAGAAGAACTCTTTGGGAGCCAGGCTTTGTGGTAGGCCCTTTTCATTCCTTCTCCATGAATCCTCATGGCTTCTCTGCAAGGTGGGTACTATGATCATGTCCATAACAGAGACAGGGGAAACTGAGGCTCACAGAGGTTAAAGACCTGGTCTAAAGCAAAAGAGAAAAACCACAATCTAACTCCAGGCATTTTCTTTTTTTTTTTTTTTTTTAAGGGAAAGAGTTTATTGGGGAAACCTGACAGACCGGTGCGAAGGCGTGAAAAAGGAAAAAGAGAGAGGAGAGTGTAAGAGAGAGATCGAGAGATAGAGAGATCAGGAGACAAGAGAAAGAGAGAACCACATGTTCAGGAACAGGTCCTTTTAAAACTTTGCCAACAACCCCAGGCATTTTCTCCCTCCACTGCTATAATAAAATCTTTTATTTCTCACTTTCTCCTTCCTCCACACACATACATCATAAACAATGAGTGTTAAATTATAACACTTTAAAAAATTCCATTTTGCATTTTAATTGTGGTAAAATACACCTAACACAAAATTTACCATCTAGGGGACAGCGCTGTGGAGTAGTGGGCTAAGCCTCTGCCTGCAGCACTGGCATCCCATATGGGCGCTGGTTCTAGTCCTTGTTGGGAAAGCAGTAGAAGATGGTGCAAGTGCTTGGCCCCTGGACCCATGTGGGAGACCGGGAAGAAGCCCCTGGCTTTAAATCAGCTCAGTTCCGGCCACTGTGACCATTTGTGGAGTGAACCAGCATATGGAAGACCTTTCTCTCTGTCTCTCCCTCTGTCTGTAAATCTACATGTCAAATAAATAAAAAAGTCTTTAAAAAAATTTACCATCTAAATCATTTCAAGTGTCCAGTTCAGTGGCATTAAGTACCTTCACATTGTTGAGTAGTCATCACCACCATCCAAGCAGAGAAATTGTTTTAATCTTCTAAGACAACAACTTTTGTACCTACTAAATAATCCTTCCTCATATTACTAGTGTTTGACATTTTCTTTCTTTTAACTTATCAGCATTAAGTCCCACATTGCTTCACTATTCCTGGGTCTTGCTCTGAGCCTGTGGAGTCTTCAGAACTGCTAGATTCTTTTCACTTGCAAAGTCTCTGGCAAAATCCCAGCTGAGTGGCTAGGCAGGGTTCTAACTTAACTGCATAGTTTTCTGCATCTCTGAGGTACACCTAAAATTCAGCACCGAAGAGATTTCTGAGCACCCTGTCTTCTGTTAAACAGGATAAGGCGAGTACCTACCTCAGTGATGCGAGGATGTTATGACAACTAAGACATACCCATTCACTACGTCCCCCCTATGTTATTGAGTCCCTGCTACATCAGAGATGCTCATCAGGACACTTGGGGTACTTTAACAAATAAAACAGAAAGTGATCCTTGACCTGGCGGAAATTAGATGCTGGTAGAGGGAGAGGGATGAAAGTCAATAAATAAAAATAATAGGTAACAGAGTGTATTGAAAGATGAAAATATGGGGAAAAGAACAGGTAGAGCAAGGTACAAACAATGAGGACTGCTAGAGCAGGAACAAGCAGTCTCCACTACGGCTAAAATGGCCAGGGCGAGCTTCATTGAGAAGGCGGCAGGAGAGGAAGGACACGGAGAACTTAAGGAAGTTACTCACAGAGCACGTAAAGGCCTAACATAATACCTGGTACAGAGGAACTACTCAACAAATGTTAGCTGCTGTTAGCAGATAAAACAGTAATTACACTGACAGTCTGAATACAGATCTACAGAACTGAACACATACTGACCCATCCAACAAACACCGACTGGTGTGCCTACCATGGCAAAGTGCTCTTCTGAGCAAAGAGCAGATGTGGGTGGAAAACACCAACAGGGTCTGTTTTGCAAACAGATTTTGAATGTGAGCATTGAGGTGAAACACCAAGGACCATTTCTGGAACTTTGTGCATCTGGAGAGGCACTGATGAACACACTGGGATACTGACCTGTACCACTAAGTGACCCTTCTCTAGAGGGATGCTAGGGAAGATAAGCATCCCCATCAGGGGCCAACACAGGGCAGGCAGGAGCGTGAGACTGAGTGTGCCTGAGTGCATGGATCTAGGTACCAGGGTGGGCATGCTGCATAAAAGCAATGGAAAATTAACTGAAAATAGTCACAAGTCTGCCAAAAAAGAATGAACTGCCTTGTTCAGTATAAATATTCACATTAGGGATTTGTTTTAAAGAATGTAACACCTTTTTTAAAAGAATATAGTACTTTGCATCATGTCCTATGCTAATTCTCCAAATAATTCATTTCTGGTTTTCAGGTATCTTCACAGTGACATAATCAATGTGATTTTCAGAGAAGTGCTTTGGAGTGGGGACAGGGAGGAGAGTGAGTACACACTTGACCTAGTGGTTAAAACATTGCTCAAGGAGCCGGCGCCGTGGCTCACTTGGTTAATCCTCTGCCTGTGGTACCGGCATCCCATATGGGCACCAGGTTCTAATCCTGGTTGCTCCTCTTGCAGTCCAACTCTCTAACTCTATAACTCTATAACTCTACCTGTTAAATAAAATAATAATCATTAAAAAAAAAAAAAAACATTGCTTGAGATGCCTGTATTCCACATTGGAGTACTTGGGCTCAAGTCCTGGTTCTGTTCTTCTCATTCTCAGATTCCTGCAAACGCACACTCTGGGAGGCAGTAAGTGATGGCTCGAGTAGTTGACTTCCTGTCATCCAATTGGAAGGCTGGACTGAATTCTCAGCTCCTGGCTTGGGCCTAGCCCAGACCCAGCTGTTGCAGACTTTTGGGGAGTGAACCAGCTGATGGCCGATCTCTTTGCTCGTCCTTCTGCTTCTCAAATAAATAAGTAATTTAAAAAAAGATATCCTAGACTAGACAACCAGCTCTCCTCATCTGGAAACCCCTCCTGAACTCACTCCTATTCTTCAGTTAGGTGGATACCTACCCTAACCAGGCAGATGCACACACGTTAGACTAGGCACACCTACGACTGTTGTGACCCAGGGCCTACTCCAGAAGAAGCTGGCTCTTGGAAAAGCTCTGAAGTTGGAACAATTCTGCCTTCAGACTCTCAGTCTTCCTACTGCTCACCTTATCAACCCCCAGGAGGGATTCTGGGTCTCCTTCCCACCTCTGTTCCCACCTTAATTCACCTCTCTGGCCAGGCGAAGTTCCCTGGACTTCTGATGTGGCGTGCTGGATAATCATATGTGTCAAATTGACCATATCACCACTTCAAGATATTTCATCACACATAAGCATGGATACTTCCAAGAGGGTGTGTTTAGATGAGATCACCATTTAAGTCAATGGTCTCTGAGTAAAGCAAGGAGGTGGACCTTGTCTGACCAGCTGAAGGCCTGGAAAGAACAAATGGCTGAGCCCCACTCCAACCAAGAAGGAATTCTCCAGTAGATGCCATCAAACTTCATCTGCAACATCAGCTCTTCCCAGCTCACAAACAGACGGCCTTGTACCTGCTGGCCTTCCTCAGCACGTTTGGGACTCCACCAAATCACGAGTCTATTTCTTTCTATAAAAGTACATCCCATTGGTTTTGTTTCTCTGGAGAACCCTGACTGATTTGGCTTATTTTTTTCTTGTCCTCTGCAGACACTTTGGTATGGGACTTTTCTACCCTCCTGTGGCCAAGGGGAAGAGAGGAGATCATGAAAGGCTGAGACATTACAAGGTTTTTTGGACTCAGGAGGGAACTGACCTTAGGCAAAACTCAGGGACTCAGTTCTCCTCATCTGAAAGCTCAAATGCCTTCAGACTCAAATATTCTTATTTTAATTTCTATCTTTGCCCAGAAGCCCTCTCTGAACAATTTAGGTGAGTGGGGCATATTCTGTATATTTAACTTTTTTGTCCCAAATCATACCCTCTTGTATTGCATCACAATTACTTCTGTAGCATTGTAGGAAGACCACACTTCAAAAGAAAATTATTGCCGGCACCGCGGCTCACTAGGCTAATCCTCCGCCTAGCGGCGCCGGCACACCGGGTTCTAGTCCCGGTTGGGGCGCCGGATTCTGTCCCGGTTGCCCCTCTTCCAGGCCAGCTCTCTGCTGTGGCCAGGGAGTGCAGTGGAGGATGGCCCAGGTGCTTGGGCCCTGCACCCCATGGGAGACCAGGAAAAGCTCCTGGCTCCTGCCATCGGATCAGCGCGGTGCGCTGGCTGCAGCGCGCTGGCCGCGGCGGCCATTGGAGGATGAACCAACGGCAAAGGAAGACCTTTCTCTCTGTCTCTCTCTCTCACTGTCCACTCTGCCTGTCAAAAAAAAAAAAAAAAAAAAGGAAAAAAAATTATTGTTCAGCTGATACCCTTTCAGGTTAGCTGAATCTAGTTCATCCTCACCACTGGGCTTTCATACAACTTGGAAAACTGTAAAAAACTTACAGCAATGAAAATAATTATTGTCTACAAACATGTAGATTCTGGAGGTGGGTGTTGTGGCACAGCAGTTTAAGCTACTGCTTAAGATAGCCACATCCCATATCAGAGTGTCTCATTTGAATCCAGGCTATTCCACTTCCAATCCAACTTCCTGTTAATGTGCCTGAGAGGCAACAGATAATGGCCCAAGAACTTGGGCTCATGCCCCCCTTGTAGGAAATCCAGGTGGACACCTGGCTCTTCGTTTCCGGATGGCCCAGCCCAGACTGTTGCATCTGGGAAGGGAGCCAGAACAAAAGAGCACTTGGATGTTTAGATGTTCATTCTCTCTCTCTCTTCCCGCTCTTTCTGTCACTCTGCCTTTCAAATAAACAAATCTTTCTATAAATAAATAAAGTCAAATATGCAGATTCTGATCTGTCCAGTACAGGTTTCACTGACTTCCCCTGTGCACTTGGGGAAAACAGAGCTTTGCATCTGTCTGCACATTCATTTCAATATTCCTGACCTATAAATGTATCTGTTCTCCAGATTCTCTATCCTGTTCTAACATCTGCCTTTTCCCCCATTGATTAATGAGTTAAGTAAAATCTTTAACATGTGTTCATTTTATAACTGTATCAGAGTCATGCTTTTACCATTTTTTTTTCCAATTATCTTTGAATAGGTTCTGTCTCCTCTACTACACTGGGACCATCTAAAGTTCATTTAAAATATTTGCTGAATGAATGAACAAATGAATACATAAACCAAAAAGAAACACAGTCTTTGTCCATAAGCATATAGAAATATTTATGCATATTTATACACATAGAGTAGTGGTTAAGGGTAAAATCCAGACTATCTCAGTTCACAACCTATTTTTTGCTATTTACCAGTTGCAATATCTATTGTAACTCTCTATCCCTCACTTTTTCCACCTGTAAAATGGGAAGAAAAAATTTCTTTCAAAGGGTGTCATTATGATTTAAAAAAAAAGAATTCATAAAAAAGACTTAGTACTACGCCAGACATCCTTGTAAACCTTCAAAAAAAAAAAAAAAAAAACCTGTATTTATTCTCCGCTTTCCTAAAGAGTTTGACCATTTGGACCATTGTATGCATTTTAGCTTTCATCTAAGAGCCCCCAGAGTGCCCCATACCCAACAGGTGCTTCATAAAGGCTAATGACAATGGTGGTGACCACAACAGTTCCAAACCCTCCTGGCCTGCCAAACTTAATAAAGTATGTTATCCATTCTTCCAGACCACTGCTGGAGATGTTACAGCCTGACCTTCTATTGATCCCAACATCGTCCCAATGGACCTTGTTCCATTGTAATTTATTACAACAGCCAAATTGAATCCACATGACAGTGCTCAGAGCCAATTCTCATTGAGGTTCTCCCCCTCCACTGCCCCCACCCCCACTGCCCCCAAAGATTTGTGGAGACACTGAATTAGATGATTTACTCAATTCCAGATATTACCGCTATTGAATTCCTTTCTTTAATCTTGCACGTCCACCTAGAAAACGATAAAGATGGCCTGGCATGATCTGTTCTGCACTCTCGTAAATTTATTATTAATGCAGAGTCAGTAACCTTCACTTGCCTGCTCAATTCTTCCCAGCCATGGTCTTTATCTTGGGGAATTCAAGTTGCTTGTTGCTACTGACATCTCCTATATTCCTCAAACCTTTATTCTCAGTTAGAAAGGGGCAAGTTCAGAAAGATAGCTCTCTGGCTACAGGCACTACTGCACATAAATAACAACAGCATTGAGCAGAGTCTACAACGCAAGTTTGCCAAAAGATGTCTGAGCAAATTAGCACCTCCCGCACGCTCTAAGGCAATTTCCATAGCTAAAATAGACGTGCTTGATTTTCCTTCAATTCTGCACAGGGATGGTGTCTCGGGCTCTTTTCCTATCATAGGGCATTGATTTTGTAAGCATTTTGGGCATTATTTTCTACCTTTTTCTTCTCTCTGTGGGCCAGACTAATCAGCACTGACACTCCAATTGGGACACTTACCTAACCAAACTAGTTTGTCAACTACCATAACATTTAGCACAGCCTCTGCTGATTTCTCAAATCTTTGATCGCTGAGACTCCACAAAAGGAGGAAAGGGACTTTAGAGGATGAATTAGTCAAAGAAAAAAATATTTAGCTGAGATTTCTAAATAAAGCTCTTGTGGCACTGCTGTGAAAAAAAATACATAAACCACACAAAAATATACAACAAATGTTTGAACTTTGAACGCAAATGAAATACCAAAGACACAATTCTTCAAGTACAGTTTCCAAGAGTTTAGATTTGAACATGGCAAATAACATATACCTCCTTATGACAATTCCCATGTCTACCAGAGATTTAACTTGAAGCAAATACCTAAATTACCTGGGATGCTTAAGTAAGTTCTGTATCTATCCCACTCAGGAGCTGAGTTCTGGATCCTTAACATTCAGTAACTAAGCAACCAAACTCAATTCTGTATCTCTAACAGTTAACCGCTATTACAGTATGTTTAAATAAATATTTTCAAATGGAGGCTTAAAATAATGCAGAGGAAAATTAGCTGATATATACAAATGTGTATCAGCATACATTACTGTAACCAATTTAAATCAGAAAATGTTTCATGCTCTTTTTGGAATTTCCTTCTCTCCTTTCCACATTTCAGATTATAAATCATACATATGAATTTTTGTTATCAAGGTTAAATATTTACTTCGTTCATTGCTTTAAACCAAGAAAATAGCTAAACAGTCCATGTAAATTAGAGATTCCATTTTCAAAAACCTAATTTGATTTTTAAGAATGAAAAAGCTATATTGTTGTTTCTTTTTTAAAAAGAGGCATGATATGGCCCAAAGATATAAGCTAACTATTTAAAAATAAAATCGTACTATTTCTTTTGAAGTAAAAGGTAAACGGGATAAGTAATCAGTAAAATGACTACATCTGGTTCAGGCTTCAGGGCAACACTGCACACCTCTGTACCTTCTCCAGGATGTGGTGCTCAGTAGGCCACACTTAGCAAATTTAAAAGGCATGGCCAGGGGCAGTGGTCCAGGGCATTAAGCCACTGCTTGCAAGGTGGCATGCTGTACCAGAGGGTTCAAGTCCTGGAAGCTACACTTCCAATGAAGCTCCCTGCTAAAGCACCTGGGAAGGCAGCAGAAGATGGCTCAAGTACTTGGGTGCCTATCCCCAAGTGGGAGGCCTGGATGGAGTTCTTGGCTCCCAGTTTTGCCCTGGCCCAGACCTCACTGTTATAGCCAAATCTTTGGGGAATGAACAAGCAGATGGTAGATCTGTCTCTCTCTCTCTATCTCTCTGCCTTTCAAATATATAAAATAAATCTTATTAAAAAATAATAAAAGGCTTGGCCAAAACTGTATAGTTGCTCCAAGGGTGAGCATAGCTTTTTTTTAAAAAAATTATTAATTCATTTGAAAGGCAGAGTTACAGAGTGGCAGAGAGAGAGAGACAGAGTCTTCCATCTGCTGGTTCACTGCCCAGATGGCCACAATGGCTAGAGCTGTGCTGATCTGAAGCCATGAGCCAGGAGCTTCTTCCCAGATTCCCACATGGGTGCAGGGGCCCAAGGACTTGGCCCATCTTCTATTGCTTTCCCAGGCCATAGTAGAGAGCCAGAATGGAAGTGGAGCAGCCAGGACTCGAACTGGCATCCATACAGGGTGCCGGCACTGCAGGAGGCGGCTTTACCTGCTATGTCACAGCGCTGGCTCCAAGCATAGCCTCAATGATACCTCTGGTCACTTCCCAAACTATTCCCTATGTATTATGAGATCTAGAAAAGGAGGGAAGATGGATTGACACAAACTTACCCCTTTTGGGAGAAAAATGGTGATATAAAATTATTTTTTCTAACTCTATATACAAAAAAGTGCTGGTTTCTTTTACTTCCAAAAATATTTCAATGTTTTCATTTCAACACAACACACACATGGGCACACACACATGCACACCCACACAGGCACACACAAGCATGCCCCTCTCTGACCTTCTGAAAAGTTTTTCATTGGTTCCCCATCAGAATTATCAACTCCACCTAATTTTCAATGTAGCTTTGCAAAGTGAGCATCAAGAGTTCTGGACAGTGGTGTCACTCTGAGTTGAGCTCGTCTGGGTTTTATATTTCCTTTCTGGCTCTCAAACCCTTCAATTTTTCAAGCGGCAGTGTGAGCCTGATCTTTAGTGTTAACGTTCTACCCTTTCACAACTCTGGCTTCAGGACAACTTTGGGTATAAAAGACCACGTAGTTCTGATATGGACATTTTCATAAATCACAGGGTTACTCTCAGAGTTATCTTTAGGACTATTACCTTTAAAATGAACTATTGATAAAGGCCACAACCTGGATGACTTTCAAATGCATTGTGCTAAGTGAAAGAAGCCAGATACAAAAGCCTGTACACATGTCCTGGATGATCCCATCTCTATAAGATTCTGGAAAAGGTAAAACTACAGGGATTGGGGACAAATTAATGATTGCCAGGGACTGGAGGCTGGAGGGAGAGGCTGGCCATAAAGGGAGCAGCACAAGGGAGGTTTTGGAGGTTACAGAGCTATTCTGCATCATGAACCAGGAAGGACTCAATTCATGTGTTTGTTAAAACCCATAGAACTGCCCAGCACCAGGAATGAATTTTATTGTATGTGAATTTAAAAATCAATTTAAAATGATCTTTAGAA